TCACAACCAAATCCCAGGGTATTACGATATATTCCCATCCACACTTCAGTAGTGATTAAGTAAAAAGGAGATAAAAATTGTTCTTTCTGAAGTATATTGCTTGTACATTCAGCATGACCAGCACCAGCAGCGATTGTGAAGGCTCCATAGTGGTGTCCCACCCACCAAAACCCTGACCTTCACAGACCACCTGCCAGCAGACACCTCCTCTTTTTCTCCTGCAATGATCATATTTAAAACCTGGAGCCATGGAGTACATGGCCAATGGGTTTGAATTTGCAATTACTGTAATGCCAGCTTGTTTGCTGGATTAGATATTTATTCACTCTACAGAGAGAGAATGTCAACAAGCCATTTCCAGCGAACTGCTCATTGATAACGTTTCTACAAATACAGGCTGGAATCAAAAGAGAAACACAAGCAAAGCTCCCAGCCATGAAAGCCTGGAGGTTGATTATTTCTGGAAGTTAGATGGGAACATATTTTGTCATTTTATTCTAGAACCCAGAGCATCATTAATTCACCATAAATATAAACATCACATCAGTGTTTTCTAGCAGTTGAGCCATTGAGCAGCTATACTCCCCAAAACAAGCTAACTATATTATTAACTTCTGCACTGTATAAATAATACACTCCCAAGCACATGCTCTCTTTAGACAACATCTCTGGGAAGCGCTTCCCTGTAACAGAAAAGCTCACGCTCGTATCAGGAAAGGCTTGTAAAGACGAGCTTTACCATGATGAACAAAACCAGGGAACTCACCGTGAGCAGAGCAGGGTGGTGACAGCGATGGCCACCATTGGCACACGCTGGGTCAGACAACAGCCCAGGAAACCCCCACAGCACCTCAGGAGCAGGATGAAGAGCAGCTACCCTGGTAGCCCACCTTCAGAAGAGAGGGGAGGCCCTGGGCTGAGCTGAAATAGAGCCCCTGGTGGGAGGGAGTGGGTGGGCTCCCAGCTGAGGGTGGTCTGGGCAATCAAAGCCTGTTAGGGCCCTCCCCCCCTCACAGCTGCAGCCAATTTTTAGACCTAAAATATGGAAATGAAGCACGCAGTGTAAGATGCACGGGGGACTAACCCAGACAGAAGTCAAACTGCTAAACCCTTTACGCTAGCCGTGCAGTGCTTTAACGGGGCAGTCGCAACAAACTTTGTCACTGCAAAACGCCTGTTTCCACAAAGTTCAGCACACTCCTTTCGTACCAGGGCTCCTGATCAGACACAGCCACCACCCCCTGTCAACACAACCAGCCAGGGCTCACATGGTTCCCTGCAGGATGACGGGTGAGGAACAGCATGGTTCAGCACCGAGACACTGCCAGTCCAGGAGGGCACAAGCCCACCCTCGCTCCAACAAAGCTGACTTACTGCAGCTTCAAGACTGAAACTATCCCTGGAGATCTCCTCTGTTTGCATGACAATCCTGCCCTTATTTCACCATCCCTCTCCTTCCACGCCATCCCTGCGCCTCCTGCCCCCCTTCCACACACCCACCGCTTGCTTTTCTCTCTGAAGGTCATTCCAAGGCAGCTGAACGCAGCACGTGGTATCACTGCACTCAGCCACTGCAGCCAGCTCCCATAAGACAAAAGGAAACTTGGCAAAATTCAAGAAATTTATGCTTTAAAATGACCGTATGTTCATGCAGAAGCCATAGATTCTGTTCAATTTAATTTCAATAGCTGCAAGGGAAAATAATGGACAATGGTTGTTTTGCTGGTGGTGGTGCTGGCGGGGGTTTTTTCATTTTACATAACAAAGTTGGCTTCTGATACATGTAATGGTTCCTGTCTCCAGCCTGCCCCGTACAAGGCGATACAGCTAAACAAGAGGCCATGATTACTTGCAGATGGTTTCCAAACTAAACTACAATGCTCAATGACGCTAACTTACTACAGGAAATTCCTAAAGCTGCTTGGAGCCCCCCAGAGTGCTGGAGGCATTTGAAGGTTCCGACACAGAGCTTTGTAGGGATGACGAAAGCCTCCAACGAGTTGAGAGCCTTCTGTGAGATGCCAGGGGAGACAAAGGAGGCTCAGGGGCTCACAGATCTTACGAACACACACACTGCAACTGTGGCCAAATATTGATTTTTGCCAGGTTGTGTCAGAAATAGCTGTACCAGAGGGACATGCAAGGTCTTACATAGAGCTCCAACATGTGCTCTGAAAGATTTTAGTGACGAACCCTCTGTTTTTTGAAGTTCACTTGAAGAAACACACACAGACCTGATGCTGGGATGCTTCTAATCAAAAGTCAGTGTTCACATTTGGGTTTTCTTCTTGCCAGTACCTCAGCTGTCATTTCTATCTAAAAGTTTCTGAAAATCGTGTAGCAGCATTTGAAGACTAGAAGATGGGTGTTGAAGGCATCTCTGCAGCCTGGGCAGGGGCTGGGGTCTAATCCAGTCCTTCCAGGCAGTAGCAGGTCCTCCCACAGCTGAGAGCTGACCTGGAACCAGCCAGCTGTTCAGCTCGGACGTGTAGGTAGCCTCACCAGGCAGCAGAAGATGAACTTTACTACTATGCAAAGTTTGAAAAGGCATCTTTAGAGAATACTAGCTTTTCTCTAAAACCTTACCTGAGCAGGTTCCCTTAATAGCAGCCTTTCAGGTGAAGAATGACAACCTAAACCCCTGTAGCAAGTCACGTCCTATGGTGCAAGGCAGCTGCCTGCTAGCTGTCCCGCTAGGACAAAAACGGAGCGCTGCAAAGTGCTGTCTCAGCCACCTCGTGGTGTCCCATCTTCCCTTCGGTGACACCAAAATTCAGGCTGTCATCTCTCCCACCAGAGCATGGTGGGGTTAAATACGCCAATTGTAAGAAACACAGACATGCTCACAGGGGTTGGGAAGCCCCAAGGAAGTCTGAATTCACACAATTCAGTTAAGTGCGTCCAAGCAACTTCCACATCCTCACTGCTGCTGTGGACTTTTAGGTGAACGCAAATTCTCCATTTATTAAATGGAGATCTATTGTGTATAATACTACCTTGGTATTTTTCCCTTACCTAAATCCCCCCATGTATGTATTACTAACAACGTTAATTAAAACCAGAATGGTTTTAGAGCAAGAAGAAATTACCTGGCGATGCTGAAAATGGGAATGCTCTGTGTGCTATAAAACTTCAGAAGTGCACTTCAGGGTGTGAATATTTCCGTGAGAAAGCAATTACATTGATGAAAGTTGACTGGTAAAATAGCCTGAATAATTTGTGTATGTGTGGGGAAGGGAGTTCACAGATAGCTGACTGAAGCCGGAATG